AGCAAGTCAGCGGCACTGGCGATGACGACGAGCTTGAACTAGGTGGCGCGTGAGGGCGCATCCGGTGGCTACATCTGCTGGAATCTCCTCCTCTTATGGGATTTCACCTTGTACACACATTCCTAGACCCTACGTGGCACTAGACACGCATATGTTAGATAAACAGAAGAAGAATAGGGAGAAAATGATCTACCGACGAACGGAGCGGAGATTGGCGGCACGATCCAAAAGACCTTCGGCACAATCCTTTTGCCCCTTATAGGTCAATTAGGCCAATTTTCCTTTTAGGCAAGATTCAAAAGTTTGAAGTTATTTCACATCGTCCAAAGTGAACAATCCTTCACGAGCAAACTCGTTCATCCTTCTTAAAGAGACATATCCTAATATAGCGTGCTAAATATTCTCAAGGTTTTGATCTATCTATTTACGTTTTGCTGATATAACATTAACATGTCGTTCACTTGGTTCTAATTCATAAAAGTTTGTTAATTGACCTTTGCAAACCACATTGTTATCCTTATGAAGAATGCAAATCGAATTTTCAAAAACAACAGTAAAACATTCTTTGTCCAAAACAGAATACAAATGAGGTTTCTAATAATTGAATGAAAAAACAGACAATTGTTCAAAATCAAAACAAAACTAGAGTAAGAAACATCACAATAAACTGCCCTATAGCTTCAGCAGCAACTCTTGTTCCGTTGCCCATCCTAAGGAAGGTCTCACCCCAGCAATCTTCATACGTATTTTTGTAGGTTTCAACTGATTACAAAGATGTGAGCCACAACCAGTATCTAATACCGATGAAGCACAAGAAGTAGACAAATTTACTTTTATGAAATATTTACCCTTCTCACAACGTTTTTGGTTTCGGTAAGCCTTGTAGTTTCGGTGACAATGGTTTTTCTTTCCACAATGATGGCAAGATTCATCCAACCTGTTTGCTAACCTTTTCCTTAGGGCCCCCACTGCCCTCACCCTTGTCCGAACTTGATGCTCGGGAAGGAAACCCTTCCCTTCATTTTCTTTTAGGAAGAATTCTTCTTCTCGGAAGGAGCAACTAGGAGGACATATTTCTCCTTCTTACGGGTTGACTAAAAGCTGACCAACCTGTTAAGAAACTTTTCAATAGAAGGTTTGAGCTTGATCATGTAGAAATTCACTATGAAAGATTCATAGGAATTTGGCAGGAAAAGGAGGATCAAATCTACCGAGAGTTCTTCAGGGAGGGTGACATCTAGGTCCTTTAACTTCTCAAGGAGTGAGATCATCTTGAGACCGTGCTCGTGGACCGAAGCCCCTTCGTGCAGTCTCATGGTGATCAACTCCTTAGTAGCCGAGTACCTTGATGCTTTAGTATTCTCACTATACATGCTTTCAAGGTGAACCTTGATGTCACAATCATGCTCGTAAGACTCATACTTTCTCGCAATATATGGCGCCATCGATACTACCATACAACACGTAGTGATGACGTCAACCCTCTTCCCCGATTCGTGCATTGTTTCATGTTGTGAGGTTGCGTTTCGGGAAGTGTAGGGGGTTTTTCAGTTAGGACATGGTGGTGGTCCTCAATGATGAGCTCAAGCTTAAGATTACGTATCCAAGCAAGATAGTTAGGGCCAGTGATTTTGTTTTAGTCGGGGATCAAAGCAATGGGATTCTTGGCAGACATTATTATCTGAGAAATTTTAAGAAGACAATTAATAGAGACTTTTCGTATTAATGATCACAATTAAACTTTTGGATTTTTGTTATTTAGTTGTTTTCCCACTAATTTTATTGGGTTCCACTACCCTCTAGTAGATAAACGAGAAAACGCATTTTTCTTTAATGGGCTTGAGGTCCAATAGCACAAATGCAACATGTAGTTAATTTAGCCCGATTATATTTGTTTAAATGTAGATCTTTATCAATCATATCAAATACGAACCTAATTTTATTTATCTCACACTTGATAATGACCTAAGTTAATCTGGCGAATTCAAAATCTTCATGTGCAAGTCTGACCTATCAATCAGAGACGTTATATAACCAACTCTATCAAACTAATGCAGTCCCTAGTAATTTAGCCGACCATGTTAATCTAGCAGAGCCATTTCTATAACAAATCTCCATCGAATGTCAATTACATTACAGTTGACCTTAAGAATGGCACTCCCCGCTAACACGACCTACTGCAGGTGATTGGTGTGCCTCTGGCACGTATAGCTGCGGAAATCGCTCGATACTCAGGACCGAGTCCACTTAAAATTTTGACAATGAGTTCCTCAGTCGAGATCGGAGAACCGGCAGTTGCAATTTCATCGGGGATAAATTTAATTTCTCTCAAGTATTCTGCAATAGATTTGGAATCACTAGAAATTTTAGTGAGATGATGGCGAAGACTGAAGATGCGTGTTTGCGATTTATTTGCAAATAAAGTGTGCAGCAAGTCCCATGCTTTCTTGGATAAGGGTGCTCCAACAACAGTGGAGGCAATGGTTGAATCGGCCGATGCCATCAAGGAATTTTGAATGAGTTGATCTTGGCGAAACTAGATCTTGTACTAAGGGTTCGCCACTTCGGTATTGGTTTGAGTGATGGTGCGAGATGGGGCTGGATTGGTGACATCTAGATGACCATATAGGTCATGGCCGTGCATTAGCATAGCAAACTGAGCTTTTCATGTCGTAAAATTTTGACTGCTAATGAGTTTGATTGGAAGTTGAGATGCATGGTTGAATTGGATAATTTGAGTAGTGGTGGGTGTGGTGGTAGTGGAGAGAGGATCAGTTGCCATGGAATTGGTGGGTTAAGAAGCAAGATGAAGAAGAAAAAAAATTTGAGTTGATTGCTCATGAGAGCTTGAAAGGCTCTATACCATATAGAGAAGATGGACTTTGATATTTTATTAAGGTACAATTACATCCCATTATATACAACGTATGGGAGAGAATATCTAAACTAATCTGCCGAGAAATAAGAGTCCTATTGAAACTCAAATAACATAAAAATAGAAACAACTTTGACTAAACAAGATTAAAGAATGCCCAAATCTTGCGAAAGAGTTTGTTACACTAATAATCGAGAATGGTGAAGTTGAGGGTCAAAATCGAAGTTTTTTCTTTGAATCTTTTACATGGAAAAAAGCGCTTAAGACTGTGTTTTCTTCCCTTTTTATTTTTTTTGGATTTGCAACAAAATTAAGCTTGAGGATCTGAGTTTGGTTGAAGGTTTTTGCTGGAAAAAATATTAGAAAAAGTGGTCTGAAAAGATGGCATTTCTGAAATTAGGAAGGACTGAATTGAAAATTTTGAAAACTTCATTTTTGCTTAAAATTCTGGGGTAAATCTATAATTTTTAAAACATCTAATACACAGGATATTTAGGTCATTTCATGTCCAAAACCGCACCACCAGATGCACATACGCCGAGTCCCAGCGCAAGATAACCTGTCAGGGGCTTTTTTGGCTTTGACTAACTTTCGTAAGGGGGTTCTTGCTAATTTGTTTAACATATGGGTGTTCTTGGCAATTAAATATTTCACAGGGGTGGTTTTTGCAAAAAATCAAAGTTTTTTTTACTTGTTAGCTTGACGTAAGACATCGTCTATTCAAAGACCAGTATGAATAGATGGCTGAGGTTTATGCACCTTCAGTTTCTCCGCCCAATTCCTACCCATCCAATCAGATTGAATTCGCTACGAAAAAAGAAGGCCGATTTCTTGAAGATTACTCAGCTCGAAGCGAATGAATAATTGGAGACGGGGACCAAATGGTGAAGATCAAGAACAACTAGAAAGGTCTGGAAATTGTATTTTTCAACCTAACTTAATTGTAATTAATTTTGAAGTAATTTTCTATTTATAATTCAACCTAACAACTTATTTGATAAAAAAATAAGGGGTAATGGCAAATAGGCCCATGACAAGGGCACTTAATTAAAATAGGGACATCCAACTTTTTTGTCTTTCAAATAAATCCACCCCATTCAAACTTATTTGCAAATAAGGAAAATCCCTTTATATATACCAAAATTACCCCCAATTCATTTGAAACCCAATTTAACTCCAATTTCATGATTTACACCCCAATTTAGCCCAATTTCATCAATTAACCAATTTTAACCCAAATTTCAATTTTGACCCCAATTTTAACCCTAATTCGTATCAATTCCACCCATTATGCTCTAACTTCTTTAATATTACACATTGACCCCGGATTTTAACAAATATATCACATTAACCCCCAAAACTTTTTTTTTTCAGAAAATAATTTTTTTTCTGAAATATTTTTTTTCCGGCCAGATTCCGGCGTTGACTTTTTTTTTTTTTTTTATTTTTTTCCTTAAAAAAAATTTATTTAAATTAATATTACTGTCTTGGATGTTAAATTACTGTCTCCAACAGTAATTTAACTGTCTTAGATAATAATATTAATAATATTACTGTTCGGAAAAATAATATTCATAATATTACTGTCTCAAACAGTAATATTACTGTCTGAGACAGTAATTTAGTAGTCAAGACAGTAATATTAATTAAAATATTTTTTTTTTCTAAGAAAAAACAATTCAAAAAAAAAAAAAAAAAAAAAAAAAAGTCAACGCCGGAGACCGGCGGTCAACGGTGGTTGACCGGCCGGAAAAAAAAGCAGGAAAAAAAAATTTCAAAAAAAAAAAAAAAAAAAAAAAAATCAACGCCGGAGACCGGTGGTCTCCGGCGGTCAACGCCGGAATCTGGTTGGAATCTGGCCGGAAAAAAAACAGTTCAGAAAAAAAATTATTTTTGAAAAAAAAAAGTTTTGGGGGTTAATGTGATATATTTGTTTAAATCCGGGGTCAATGTGTAATATTAAGGAAGTTAGAGCATAATGGGTGGAATTGTTAAGAATTATATTATTGAGGGTATTTTAGACTAAAGACATGGGGATGGGCTTAATTGAGAGACTGTTTTTTCTGTGGACTAAAATGCATTTAAGTCCCATGTGATGGGCCTTTTTGCCATTTGCCCAAAAAATAAAACCCGATTTCAACAAATTATAAACTTGTAGCGGATTCATATAATCAAAAAATAATAAATTCTGTCAGCTGTCTAAATGCCAATGCTGACTTAGTCATTGGAACAACTTGAATATTATCTTACATTTAATTTCAGACACAGGGTGTTGACTTTGCTCTTCTTGTTAGTGTTTGAGAAATCAAAAGTTGCTTTCTTTTAGCACTACTACTAATTTTTGATAATCTGTTAGTGGTCTGAAAATTGTTTTATCGAAATATATAAGGAAGCCATAGATGGCTGCTTATGGAGCTTTAGTTTCTCTCACACACACTATTGATCAGGTTCTGCAACCTCCTCCTGCTCATCACTTCATTATCGATAGAGAACGGATCGAATCTCTACGAGAAAGGGTAGTTTTGTTGCTCGATTTTCTGGCAAATCAATCTTTTAGACGAAGCAAAGAGGTTGAAGATTTGGAGATGCGGATCACGGATGCATCTAATGCAGCAGAGGATATAATCGAATCGAATGCGAGGAACCAAATTCGTGCAAAATATGAATTCTTTAGAAAAATGAGGTCCACCCTGAAAAACATGGTGCATATCAATGTCAAGAGAGACATACCGATGATAGTAGAAGAGTTTGTCTTTATCGAGAAAGAGTTAAGGAATATCAAAGACGACAAAGTCACGGAAGACGAGCAATCTGAAAAGTCACCGACTGTTAGTTCGCCGAGGCCTCTCTCCGGCGGCAAAAACACCATGGTGGGATTCGATGAGCACTTGATTCAAATAATGAGCATGCTCGCCACAGATGAATCTGATCGTCGGATTATCCCTATTGTTGGGATGGGTGGCATAGGTAAGACTACTCTTGCCACTAATGTTTATAATAATCCTTTTATAGTGGAAAAGTTTGAGGTTCGTGCTTGGTTTGTGGTATCCCAAGAATGTACTGGCAAAGAGATTCTGCTAGGCCTTTTGCGTCAAGTTGTTACTACAGGTCGAAATGAACTTGAGATGAACGATGACGATGAGCTGGGAGAAAAGTTGCACAAAACTTTGTTTGGGAGGAGGTATTTGATAGTGATGGATGACATATGGGATATCAAGGCTTGGGAGATGGTGAATAGGTTCCTTCCGGATAATGATAACGGAAGTCGAATCTTGGTAACTACTAGGCTGATGAAGTTGGCTTCAGATGTTGGGTCTTGTACCCCTTATCAACTGAATCTTCTAGAAAAATCACAGAGTTGGGATCTACTCCGTGAAAAGATATTTGCTGAAGGACGTTGCCCCGTTGAATTGGAGGTAATTGGAAGAAAAATTGCCAAAAAATGCAGAGGACTTCCTTTGGCACTTGTTGTTGTTGGTGGGCTTCTTGCAAAGTCCGAAAGAGATCATTGGAAGTACGTCGAAGAAGATTTAACTTCATCAGTAAACAATCAAGATGATGAGTTCTGCATGAAGATATTGTTGTTGAGTTATATTCACTTGCCTATATATCTCAAGCCTTGTTTCCTTTACTTTGCCGTGTTTCCACAGGACATTGATATCAAAGTGTCATGGCTAGTCAGATTGTGGATTGCTGAGGGATTTATAAGACAATGTAAGCATAAAAGCTTAGAAGAAATCGGAGAGGAGTATTTGGAAGATCTTATAGATCGAAATCTCATTCTCGTCGGTAAGCGAAAGATAAGTGGAGAAGTGAAGACCTACCACATACATGATCTTTTAAGCGATCTATGCAAGAGTGAAGCTCGGAAACACAATTTTCTAGTCTTTGCAAAGCTTGATAAGACCAAAGCTTCATCGGATATGTTGAGCGTACGCCGCCTTATCATTAATGGTGGCCGATGGAAAAAGATTAAATTAAGAGCCTCTGGATCAGCGGCAACTACTAGGTCTTTCATAAGCTTCTTTTATGGGAATTCTTCTAGTTATAGTGCTCGTCGGTTTATATTACTGCGGGTACTAGATGTGGTTGATAGATATCCTCAACATGAGATTCTAAAGCTAATTAACTCAAGATACGTTGCTTGCATGGGTTCGTTATCTATGTCGTCTTCTATATCCCGACTATGGAGTCTACAAACCTTGGTTGTTGATGAAGAGTTGACTCTACCTATTGAGATATGGCAGATGCCCCAACTTCGACATGTTAAGGCCAAAACAATTTCTCTCCCCGATCCTCCTTCAGATAATGCCCAAAAAATCACAGTTCTTGAAAATCTACAAACACTTTCGACAGTCGGAGAATTCAAATGTAGCGAAGAGGTAATTAAACGAATCCCAAATGTGAAGAAGTTGGGGATTGTTTGTTCGACAGTTGGATCTCATTGTTTAAGCAATCTCGGCTTTCTCCATAAACTTGAATCACTTAGTCTAGCATTTGATGGTACAATTGGTCGTGGAAACATGGTGTTCCCAAGTTCAGTTAAGAAATTGTGCTTAAGTGAATGCAAGATTCCTTGGGAAGATATGTCCATTGTTGGTTCGTTGCCCAATCTTCAAGTTCTCAAGTTGCGGTCGAATGCTGCTGTAGGCCAAAAGTGGATTTCAAATGAAGAGGAATTCGTTCGACTGAAGTTCCTTTTGATTGAGCTGCGTGAGTTGGAGATATGGGAAGCAGACAGTACGCATTTCCCATGTCTTGAGGAACTACATCTTCGGACCTTGAACCTGAAAGAAATCCCGTCGGATTTTTCGGAAATATTACCGCTTCAAGTGATCGACTTAAACCTCTGCAGCAGTTCCCTTCTGACATCAGCAAAGGAAATGTCGGAGGAGAGAGAGAACCTAGGATACGACGCTCTTCAAATTCGATATTCTTCATTAGGAGTGCTAACAATTTTGGTGAAGAGAGGTATTAACCTTTCTGTTCGTGACGGCCGCATCAGAGATCCTTATGTTGTTATCAAGATGGGCGAAAAGGTTTTGTTTTCGTACTATATAACTGTCGTATTTGGCGATATTGAGGTTTTTTGTGTATTATTTAACCTCTCTAGTTTTCTAAAAAGAATCGCAATTTACTTACGATGCAGAGGCTGAAGACTCGTGCTGTCATAAGGAATGTTAATCCTGACTGGGATAAGGATTTCACAATTGTTGTTTCAGATCCTTGTCAACCAATCTCTCTGGTGAGCCGAGCCTCTTTCATTATAAAATTCGATAACAGCTTCTACACATGTTACTTAGATTGCTAATTTTCCTCTATTTTATTTTTTTCTTGATCAAATCAGAATCTTAGAAACCATTATAAAAAAAAATATATATATATAAAGCCATAATAAAAGGTACTTTTTACCGTAGCAAAAAAAGTATTTGGTACGGCTATTTATCGAGAAAAGTTTTTGTCACGCCCGTATATGCTACGGGGCAAATTCGTAGCAAATGCGTAGCTAAAGCATTTTTACTACGAATTTGATACATTTTACTATGGTTAATGGTCGTAGTAAAAAGTCATTTTTCTACTAGTGATCTATGCCTAATTCGATGTGTATGTATGGTTTGTAGACGGTATACGATCAGTACAAGTTCAACTTGGATGACAAAATGGGAGATGCAGATTTTGATATTAGACCGTTGGTAGAAGTTGCGAAGATGAATCCAAATGGCCTTCCAAATGGTACGGTAAGCACAATAATATTGCCTTCGATCTCCAATTGCCTTGCTGAAGAGAGTTCCCTTGTTTGGAAAGACAACAGAGTAATGCAGGACATGCGCCTGAGGCTGAAAAATATCGATTGTGGGGAAGTCGAACTTCAACTCGAGTGGTCTGATTGTTTTAGTTATTACAAGCGTTCTTAAAAAACATTATATTTGATCGCATACTATGTAACAGTTTTTACTTCATTATAAATTGGGTTAAATACAAAAACACCCATGTACAATGAATTTTGTATCATATACTCCATGTATTATACATAAAAACAAAACAAAAAAACCAAAAAAATAATAATAATATTGATGTGGTTCACAGTAATATTACTATAACAACAGTAATATTACCGTCAACCACATTAATATTATTGTGTTTACAGTATTATTACAATAATAGACAGTGATATCATTACGTTCCTCCGTTAATAACTCAAATAAAACAAAAAACCCAAAAAATAATAATATTGATGTGGTTGCCAGTAATATTATTGTGTTTACAGTTATTTTATTGTCAACGACACTAATATTACGTTGACTTGCCAACAAATCAAACAAAATAAAAAAAAAATAATAATAATATTGTCATTGACTCTAATCGTAACAAAATTAAAAAATAATAATAATATTGTCATTCACTCTAATTGTACTGTCAACAGCAGTACAATTACATAAATGTATTGTCAGCGGCAGTACAATTACGTTAATGTACAGTCAGTGACAGTATAATTACGTTAATTTACTGTCAGTGACAGTATAATTACCGTTAAAGACAGCAGCACAATTACAGTCAACGTTTAGCGGCGGGCGTAAAAAAAAACACTAGAAAAAAGTCAACGCCGGAAACCGGCGGCAAAAGAATACTTTTTGAAGAAAAAAAAATTGTAAAAGAAAAAAAATAATTGGATTTTTGTGGTCCAAATTGATTAAATTGGGGTTACAATTAAGAATTGGGTGTAAAGAATTGCGGGTAATTTTGGGATTTTTTGCACAAACCACCACTGTGTAATCTTGAATAGCTGAAAAATCCCTCGTGTTAAAAATATTAGCAAAAAATCCAATATGAAAAATAGTCAAAGCCCCTATGAGCTTGATGTGTTATACACTCGCGCTTTGTGCGACTGGCCATCTGATTTTGGAACTAGAAAGACCTACTAAATACCCTTCAAATCAATTTTTTTGAATTTTATAAATTTATCCAGTATTTTTCATAATGAAGTTTTCAAATTTTCAATTCAATCCCTAATAATTTCAGAAAAGCCCTCTCTCCAAATTGCATAGGACTAAATTGCATTTTTCATAATTTCTCAAAACCTCATCTTCTTTCTCCGTCTCCTTCTTCAGACTGTTCCTCGCCACGAAACAATATCAAGCAGTTCATCTTCTTAAACCCGTTTGCAAAAGAAGAAAAACCAACAAAAGTTGCACTGCACGAGAGAGAGAGAGAGAGAGAGAGAGAGAGAGAGAGAGAGAGAGAGAGAGAGAGGAGAGAGAGAGGCCCGATTTGCCATCCATTCATCCGGCTCGGATGATGCCGCCTCCATACCCACCGTCGACGAAGAGATGAGATGAATAGGGTGGCGATCCAGAAATCTTAATTCAAAAGAAATCTGGAAGAACCCATCAAACATAAAACATAATTTTTTTTTGGGTAGGAAGGCAGGTGGCGCGCCCGTGGTGGTGAGGTGGTGGTGATGCGAATGGAAGAATTTTGGGTTGGGGGAGGAGATGATGGCCGTGGGTTTTCTTATTTTTCTTCCTTGGGTAATATACAGCCACCCCTTGAGGTATGGTCAAATTACGAAAACCCCCCTTTTGTTTGGCTAATTACAACCACCCCTCAATTCTTCAAATTTAGTGGAATCTTCGAGATCATATGGAATATTATCACTTTTGTACCCATATTCAAACTCTAGATTTTGAAGCAAGATGATCATAATATGTGTTTTTTGACTTGTATATATCAGATTGTTGTGCATCATAAACTGTATTTTTATACAAAACGAGTACAAACTAGAGCACATTCCACGAAATCTAGATGATTATGTTGAATTTAACATCATAAAGGTGGAGGTGTAAGAAAAAAAACATAATTGAGGGGAGTAGATGTAATTATCCAAACAAGAGGGGTTTTTTTGTAAATTAACCACACCTTAGGGGGATGTTTGTAATTTACCCTTCTTTCTTTTTTTCTTTTTGGATTTTTTGTAATTAAATTCATTTTGCATTTTTATTTATTTATAATTGAAACATAAATTATTATAATACGAGGGTTAATTTAGTCATTTCTTATAAGTCAACTGCTAATTTCGTATTTTACATGGTAATGGTAGAAGTGTAGTTGCCGGATAAAATTTAACCGGCCATATCGTCCCATTTCATAGTACAGGAAAGTAAATACGACATTGGTTATAATACAAGGGTGCAAATGTATGACCTTTAAGCTTACTCAATGCCCACTTTGAAGCTGAACAGCTTGGACTATGCTATACTGTTCGTCTGAAATTTATCTATCGAAAAAGATAAGGAAGCCATAGATGGCTGCTTACGGAGCTCTAGTTTCTCTCAGCAATATTCTTGACCAGAGGATGTAATTGAATCCAATTTGAGGAACCAAATATGTGCTAAATCCACTAAGGAGAATTTGGTGTCGGTGGAGATGGAGCAAAATAGAGAAATACATATGATGATACAAAAGTTCCTCTCCATCGAGAAGGATTTGGTGGACAAAAATGAAGGCATGGATAACCAGTCTACTAGGAAAGCTTCTTCATCAGCGCTGCCTCTTCGGATTGGCAAGAACACCATGGTGGGATTCGAGGATCACTTGATTCAAATAATGGGCGCTCTCTCTACCGACGAATCGGGCCGCCGGATTATCCCTATTGTTGGGATGGGTGGCATAGGTAAGACTAACCTTGCCACTAATGTTTTTAACAATCCTTTTATCATTGAAAAGTTCGATATTCGTGCTTGGTTTGTTGTATCCCAAGAATGTACTGGCAAAGAGATTCTTCTAGGCCTTTTGCATCAGATTATTAATCCTACCAATCGAAATGAACTTGAGATGAATGATGATGATGTATTGGGAGAAAAGTTGCACAAAACTTTGTTTGGGAGAAAATATTTCATAGTAATGGATGACATGTGGGATATCACGGCTTGGGAGATTGTGAAAAGGTTCCTTCCCGATAATAATAATGGAAGTCGAATCTTGGTAACTACTAGGCTGTTGAAGTTGGCTGTGGATCTTGGATCTTGTACCCCTTATGAATTGAATTTACTAGACGAAGCACAGAGTTGGGATCTACTTCGTGAAAAGGTATTTCCAGAAGGACGTTGCCCTGCTGAATTGGAGGAAATTGGAAGAAATATTGCGAAAAAATGCAGAGGACTTCCTTTGGCCCTTGTTGTCATTGGTGGGCTTCTTGCAAAGTCCAAAACAGAAGATTGGAAGTACGTCGAAGAAGATGTAACTTCGGCAGTGAACAATGAAGATGACGAGTTATGCATGAAGGTAATATCATTGAGTTATAATCACTTGCCTATATATCTCAAGCCTTGTTTCCTATATTTGGCCGTATTTCCACAAGATTTTGATATCAAAATGTCGAGGCTCGTCAGGTTGTGGGTTGCAGAAGGATTTGTTAGACAATGTGGGCCTAAAAGCTTAGAAGAAATTGGAGAGGAGTATTTGAAGGATCTTATAGATAGGAATCTTATTTTGGTTAGTAAGAGAGGTATTAGTGGAGAAGTGAAGACCTGCCACATTCATGATCTTTTAAGCGATCTATGCAGGAGAGAAGCTCAGCATGATCTTTTAAGCGATCTATGCAGGAGAGAAGCTCAGAAAGGTAATTTTCTAGTCCTCTCAAAGCTGGATAACAACAAAGCTTCGTTAGATATGGAGAGATGCGACACTAACGGCATCTATTCGGTCTTTCTTAACCTTCTTTTCTATGAATTTGTCTACTTATAGTGCTTGTCGGTCTCCGTTACTACGGGTATTGGATGTGGTTGACAGATATCCCAAAGATGAGATTCTACAGCTAATTAACTCAAGATATGTCTCTTGCACGGGTTTGATCTCTATGTCGTCGTCTTCTATATTATCCCGACTTTGGTGCCTACAAACCTTAGTTGTTGGTGGAGAGTTGACTCTACCAAGTGAGATATGGCAGATGCCCCAACTTCGACATGTTCAGGCGCGGAGAATTTCTCTACCTGATCCTCCTTCACGTGGCGAAAAAATCACAGTTCTTGAAAATCTACAAACACTTTCAATAGTCAAAGATTTCAAATGTACTAAAGAGGTAACTAAACGAATCCCGAATCTGAAGAAGTTGGGAATTGTTTGTCCGACAATTGGATCGTATAGTTTAAGCAATCTTGGGTTTTTCCATAAACTTGAATCACTTAGTCTAGCATTTGTTGGTACGCGTGGTCGTGGTCCTCGTGGAAACATGGTCTTTCCAAGTTCACTTAAAAAATTGGTCTTAAGTGAATGCAAGATTCCATGGGAAGATATGTCCATTGTTGGTTCCTTACCGAATCTTGAAGTTCTCAAACTGCAGTCGAATGCTGCTGTAGGGCAAAAGTGGATTTCAAATGAAGGGGAATTCGCTCGACTCAAGTACTTGTTGATTCATGAGTGTGAGTTGGAGATTTGGGAATCAGAAAATACACATTTCCCATGTCTTGAGCAAATGCATCTCGGAACCGTGAGCCTGAAGGAGATCCCTTCCGATTTTGCAGAAATATTACCACTTCAAGTGATTGACTTGTACCGCTGCAAAAGTTCCCTATTGGCATCGGTAAAGGAAGTATCGGAGGAAAGAGAGAACCTAGGATATGACGCTCTTCAAATTCGAAGTTCTGTGTTTGCACTGCTCACAATTTCTGTGCAGAGAGGTATCAATCTTGCTCTTGGCAATGGCCGCAGCAGAGATCCTTATGCTGTTGTCAGGATGTCCAAACAGGTTTTGTGTTCTTACTTGTTGTATTGTTTATTTATCTCTTGTTCGTTTTCTTATAGGTTTTTCTAAACAGAATTGCAATTTACTATAAATCATTGCGATGCAGATTTTGAAGACTCATGTTGTTAGAAAGACTGTTAATCCCGAATGGCATGACGATTTGACGGTAGCTGTTTTAGATCCTAGTCAACCAGTTTCTGTGGTGAGCCTCTTTCGTTAGCGATAAAATTAAAACAAATTATTAGGTTGTGCTATTGATCCTTCTGGTTCTAGACTAGATACAAGTTTTAAAAAAAGAAAATTCAGTTTGATATATCAAGAACAAATTTGAGCTTTCTAAAATCAGATATTTTTGTTTTTCAATTGTTTTGAGTTTGAATATTAACTAATGCAGTTTTAGTGATCTCAAGATTTGAATCTTCTGCCTCTTTCTTAATGAAAATTCGGTTCGGTATTTGGTAATTTTTATTTTTGAATTCCGATATTCGGTATGGTATACGGTATTGGTGTCCACCGTCTGGTATACCGTACCGTACCGAATACCTAAATATTTAATATATATTTATTTTAAATCCTTTCAGGTTATAAAAATATTCTAAAATACTTGTAGATTGATAATGTTTTCCATTATTTACAAATTAGCCTCTATTGATAATCACTTTATGTTTTTAGGGCCGGTACTTGAAATATGAATGTCAAATTCAAGAATTATTTCGTTTAAATTTTTATTTTACCTTTTCTAAAATAAGAAAATATATTTTGGTTTTACCGGTACCGAACCGTACCGAACCGAATAATTCGGTAAAAAACCATACGGAACCGAAATATATTTTCTTATTTGAAACCGCAATACCTATACGTTGATTCTATGTGTACGTATGGTTGTAGACAGTGTACGACAAAAACATGTTCAGTGCGGATGAGAAGATGGGAGACGCAGAGTTTGATATTAGACCATTTGTACAAGCGTTTAAGATGCATCCAAATGCCCTACCAAACGGTACAATAACCACAAGAATATTGCCTTCAAGCTCGAATTGCCTGTCTGAAGAGAGTTTCATTTTCTGGAAGGATGACTATCTAATGCAGGATATGTGCCTCGGATTGAGAAATATCGAATCCGGCCAAGTCAAACTTCAGCTGCGGTGGATTGATATTCCTGGCGACGAAGATTCTTAGACCACATCTTGTTGTAGCTTCTCGTTTCTTCGTATCGTGGATTTTTTTTAATAGTTTTATTATTTCTTTCTTCCCTTCTTTCTTTTGTTTGGTTTTTCGTATTGAAATTTCTCTGGGAATGAAAACTTCACGTTTAAGTACGACAAAATTTTGACTTGTGCAATCAATTTTGGACTTCTGAAAAAAATAGGAATTTTTACGAAAGGGCTAATTCCAACACGTTTACACCCCTAAATTATATACATATAAATTGTACTCACCTTGCCATTTAACAACTACATCCTTGAAATATGTCTTTTGTCAACCACTCCCTCAAATATATAAAATTTTGGCATCTATGTATATATATTAATCACTAGAAGAATATCTGATATGGAGTTGGAGTTGGCCAGAATCGGCATTTTTCGATCCGAGGCACATGTCCTGCATTATGATGCGGTGTTCCCAGAAAAAAAATGGAACTCTCTTCGGCTAAGCAATTGAAATATGCAGGTGTAATTTCAACCAAAATTTTTGACATCTTCAAGGAGAGGATCAATGGTTTCCATTAAGTTGCATTTGCAAAATCAAAATTAAAAAAATATATATATTATTTTAGTGCAAATTAACAAGAATTGAAGAAACAAAACACTCAAAAGTCAACAAACACTGAGATATCGAGAGAGAGAGAGAGGCCATGGCTGCAAAATACTATGAATTTTAGACTAAATCGCCAATGACTTTTCACCCCAAGCGTCTTCTACCAAAACCACGTCGCCTCCAACCACCTAAGTTTCTGCACTCGCAATGAAAAAAATTACATAAACAAATCTGCCAATAAAAAATTGAACAAAATTACGATAAAAAAAAAAAATTCGACGAGAGGAATCCAACGGTTGGTAACCCCTCAAATTCCGACTGTCGGGACACAAATTACTCATCCGGCAAGACCTACCGTCGTTGAAATATGCGCGGACTGTAAAACGATTGCAAAAACAGTTCCAAAGTTTTCAGACCGAATGAAATCGGCACCAAAAGAAAGAACTCGGCGATGGGAATCCAACAGTAGTTAAACTATCGAAATCCGACCACCGAAGATAGAGTTATGACTCCGGAAAGCAACATCGCCGGTTGGAGACCTATAGGGGTAGACACGGCCATGGCCCGGTTTTGGGCTCGGAACCGGCCCGAACCGTTGACCGGTGAACCGCCCGTCGTCCCCGGGATGGGCCCGGTTCTATGAATTGGTGAACCGTGAACCGCCGAGCCGGCCTGGTGGCTCACTCGGATTTTTTATTAAAAAAAAAAAAATCAAACAAATTCAAAGAAAAAAGCAGATAACGACCGGTGAACCGGCCTAGTGAACCGGCCGTTATTTGCTATTTTCTGAATCCCCCCCCCCCCCCCCCCCTGCCCGTTTTTTTCTTATAAATACCATCACACCCCATTTTTTCCTATAAAATTAAGTTAAAGTCCATTTATTTATTTCCTTTAGGCCCGGAACCCGAGTGAACCGGCGGGCCGACCCGGCCCGCCGAACCGTGCATAGTACGGGCCGGTTCCGGTTCCGGAAAAAGTGAACTGCGAACCGGAGTTAACCGGCCCGAACCGGAGTTAACCGGCCCGAACCGGCCCATGGCCGTGTTGGTGGGGGGATTTTGATCTGGGATTTCAGAGAGAGACGGTTGTGAGTTGGCTAGAGTTCAAAACTGATTGAAAAATGCATTTTAGGTACTTCAAATTGGCGAGGGGTTATGTCAAAGTAATATAAAAAAGGAGGGGGCTGGGGGTATCCACCACGGTGTAATCCTCTTGGTGGTTGGTTCCAAATATTTTCCATATGAGGGGGTCTCCTAAAATAATCCCAAATATAGTGGGGGTAAATTAGGCAATTCAATAGTACTCTATTTTATATTATTTAATAATAAATTTTTACTCGAAGGGTACATTTGTAAATGACTCATTGATTGTAACACCATCCATGTTAGTTTTCTAGGGTTCTGATCTAATCTTTCAAAAGTAACAGTGAGTGGAACATATCTCATATAGTTTAGAACACGAATATCTCACCCTAGACAAACCCAAATTATCTAGTACAAATGATCTTGAAAGGAAACAAGTTAATCTATTCTAATTAACATTGGAGAATTAATCGTTTATTCATGTTCGGAAAATATTATATCATGAATATAGTGTATCATAACTAAAATACCATAATATTCTGTTTTTATTATTTTATTTTATTTTAATAAAACAATAATAAAGGTGTGCCGATAATTGCATAATAGCATACGAGGTTCGACACGAACAAAGCTAAGGCAAGAACGAAATACAAGAATGATAGTCTGGGAAAACAGAGCATAACAATTTCAAGATTATATAATAATTAACATAATTTCACTCTACGTACCAATCATGCACCAATTAAAAAAAGGCGCCCCATCCTATGGCCCGACAAGGATTGATGGAAGAATGTAAATCATGGTAACTCAATGGCCCGTTAAGGTAGCGGACCCGGACCTTGCACCAACTTACCACCTCCGGAACCAGTTGAACTACACTCATGAGTATAGGATATATTGCATGAGTATAGGATATATTGTGTAATAACAAGGATTGTGTAGAAGGGGTAAGTAATATTGAACCAAAGTACAATGGAGAAAATTAGAATTTACCCTTAAATTAATTATCATTAAAATATAGTCAGGGGTAAATTAGACAATTTGATGTTAATCTATTTTAAATTCTCTTAATAAAAGAATTAATCGAAGGCTACTTGGTAATAAATTAGTGATAATTAGATCGTATCTCATACGAGTTTAGAATACGGGGTATCTCAGCCTAGATAAACCCTCAACATTAATATAAAAATAGCTAGTACTGGATTATTTTAGAGTAGCATAATTAAAATACCATAATACCAAAACAAAAACCAAAAAAAAAAATAAAAAAAAATCATAATATAATTTTTAATGTTTGAATAAAATAGTAATAAAAAAGGGTACGTACGTAATAATAATAGCATGCATAATAATAAACTAGAGTCGTCGCGCGAAGAAGCTAATAAGTAAGGAGTGAATTAGGAAAGAAGCTAGCGAAGAGAATAATGGGTGGGGCAAACAGAGCATGTGCCGTGGGAATCCGACGACGTCTCGTCGGAAACATGTCTGTGTTTCTCCAACACATGGAGTTTGAACATAACGTCGACAGTACAGTTTTGGTCAACGTTTTCCCTGACTATGGTCAGCACATCTTCGGTCAATTGGCTGCGCTCGGAGCTGCTCAGTGGCCAACCTTTGAATCCTTGGCTTATGACTTCACGTGCTGTGTCTGGGTACGTGAATAATTGGCGGCAGCCGATGGAGATTGATTTATACGCATGGGGTTTATCGACTCGCTGGAGAAACTCTGGAACCGAGCAATATGGCCGTTGAATCCAATCGTAGTAAGCCGATACAAAACTGAATTTCAAGAAGATGACGGCCTCTTGATACATCGAGGACCGTAGGGTTTTAAAGTCATTCATTACTAAGTTTACTGTTTTGTCGCAGGAGTTGGAATATGCCATTACGAAAGCTTAATTGAACAACAACAATTGAAGAGAGAGAAAGTAGATAGAGACAGAGAGAGAGAGAGAGAGAGAGAGGGAGAGAGAGAGAGAGACTAAAAGTAGTGAACCCATGCGGAGGGAGGGAGGGTATTATTTATAAGGTTGTTGTTACCTTCTTAATTAATCATTGTTGTTATAGCAGGATTAATTTTTTTAAGAAACCAAATCAGCTGTTTTCTTTTTCTTTTTTCTTTTTTATCGAAAACTTCCTTCACTGCGAACGGCAAAAAAGGGATTTTATGCAAGCAAAAATAAAATATTAGAGAGTTTACAATTAAAATAACACACGGAGGTTTTAGTGAAATTTTTTCCTTAATTTATTTTTATTCCATCGCTCAACAAGATATTATATAAAATTATAATAAAATCGAATAATCTGGTAAAATTCGAACTATATTATATATATCTCCCAGGAATGGTGCAATTTACATTACAACGTTTGAAAAGAAAAAAAAAACAAAACTATATTATAAATCTGCAAGAATCTTGGAATACAATAGAAATGCGTACCTTTTAGCACTTCTAATTAGCACTTAAGTGTTCTACTTGTGGAACGTGGAATATTGCAAGCACATGGATTTAAGTTAACTTTTAGTATGGAACAATCTTGGAGTCGTAATAAATGTTAGAATTTATCGTAGCAAAAAGGTATTTGCTACGGCCGTTTACTGTAGTAAAGTGTTTTTCACGCATGTATATGCTACGGGGTAAATACGTAGCAAAAACATTTTTACTACAATTTTGGTACATTTTGCAACGGTTATTTGTCGTAGTAAAAAGTCATTTTTCTAATAGTGTTTAATATTATTATAAAGGACGAATTGCAAAAACACCATCCAAAAAGGGACATGCAACTTTTTTGTTTGCAAATATATCAACCATCCAACTTTTTGTTTTGCAAATATATCCACCCATCAACACTTACATGCAACTAAGGAAAATTCTCTCATACAAACCAAAATTACCCCCAACTATTTGAAACTCTAATTCACCCCAATTTCATGATTTAAACCCTCATTTAACCATATTTTACTAATTAACCAATTTTCACCCCCAAACTAATTTTGATTGTCACCGTCGGTCAGCCGACGTTGACCGCCGGCCTCCGGTGTAAATTTTTTTCCTAAAACGTTCTTTTGCTAGACCTTTTTTCCGCCCGATCGCCGTTGTTGCTGCTGGTCTCCGGCGTTGACTTATTTTTGTTCTTGATTTTTTTGCCGCCATAAAATAATATTACAATTAACATTGTTAGTATTAACACAATATTATCATTGTTAATATTATTGTGTTGGTTTGCAATATTATTGTCTCAGCCAATAAAATTGTTATTAACACAATAATATTACTGTCACGACCTGCAATATTACGGTCTCAAACGGTAACATGATTGTTAAGACACTAATATTACTGTATTGGCATGCAATATTAATGTCTCAGACAATAATATTGTTGTTAACACATTAATATTATTGTTTTAATATTAATATTACTGACTTGGCCAACAATATTATTGTCTTAGACAATAATATTACTGTTATCACAATAGTATTACAATGTTGGTTTTTTTTCAACAAAAATTGAAAAAGAAGATAAAAATA